AGAGAGAGAGAGAGAGAGAGAGAGAGAGAGAGAGAGAGAGAGAGAGAGAGAGCAATTCCTCTCAATCTAACAAAAATCAACCCAAAACCGAAGAACTTTGCTCCGAATGCGGAAAATACCGTTTAGAAGACTGAGAATTGACTGAACACAACGATGGTAGGAAATTCTGTTCTAAGTCATGCTGTAAAAAATATTACAAAAAATGAGAATGCAAGCAGTGCTTTCAAATCATCGAAGGTGAATACCGCTACCATACTACCAAAAATGACCATAAAAAATTCTGCTCAGAAAAATGCTTTAACGACCATTACAGCAAAACCTGCTATACTTGCTCCACTAAAACCTTAGAATACTACCCAGACAAGCAATATCCCAATCTAGTTTATTGTTGAGACTGTAAAATAGAAAGAGAATATATCTGCTGAGGCTGTGCTAAAACTAAAGAAGGTGATTATTATGCTGAGAAAGATGGTTCTAAATACTGCTCTCAAGATTGCTACGAAAGACACTGTGGAGAATTATGCAACGAGTGTGCAAAAAGCACTCTGGAATATTATCGCCCAGACGAAAAGCACCCTAATTATATCCTTTGTGTAGAGTGTTATCAAAAACAGCAAAATGAAAAGCTTAACTTTAATCCGGAAAAGCACATTGGCAAAATGGTAGAAGGAATGAAAAATAGCCTAGAAGAAAAAAGCCAAAAAGAGAGTGAACAATCAGAAAAAGGTACAGGAGAAATCACCTCTTATAAGCCAAATCCTAGTCAAAATAACTCTAATCCAATGAGCACCATCCATAACCTCCACCAACAATACCTCAACCAAGCCCAGTCTACTTATGGTTCTAATTCTCCCCAATACCAAGAATTAGTGCGAGAAAAAAAAGAAGCCATAGCTGTTTTAGAGAAAGCTTCCGAGGAAGAACAAAAGGAGTATTTGGCTTTAATTAGGGAATTGGGGGATTTATTAGAAAAAAACCCTAATCTATCTGCCGCAGAGCAACAGAGAATAACTACTCTTAGCCAGGAAGCTGATAATTTTACTGAGAAATTAAAAGGAAAGCAATTGAAAGTTGAGCAGCAGCAAAAGACTAATTGAATGATTTGGGTTTGTGGCGGTTTAGTTGGGTTAGGTTTGATTGGCTTAATTGTTTGATTGATGGCGAGAAGGAAAGGATAATTATGGTTGATTGAAGAGATATTCATAAGGATTTTAATGAAAAATTACAGCAAGAATGGAAGCAACAAGGTTTTACTTACGAAACTTGTAAGGAGTGGATAGACATTGGTTTAAAGCCAATTGATGTTAGCTATGTTCAGTGATTAAGGGACATTAAAAAAACTACTCCTGAATGAGTTTTAAATTACGATAATAAGAAGTCGAGAGAGGAATATAAAGAACACTTGCAAGGTCAAGAAACATCTGAATCTGGGCAACTTGGCGAAGAAGAAATCGAAGAGAAAGAAACTGAATCTAGATCTAGGGACAGAGAAAAATCAAACACTGATTCACCTCAGCAAAATACCATTGTAGTTTCAAAAAATCAAAATAAAACCATGCTTGAAAGCCTGAAAGGTCAGGTTGAACGTCTTAAAGTTGAAAAAATAAGATTGATTAAACATATGAAAGCTGAAGCTGAAAAAGCTCGTGAGGCTACTGAGAATAATGAACGTGAAATTCAATCATTACATCGTAAAGAGAAGGCTACACAAGAACAAAAAAAACGACTTGAGAGGTCAAATGAAATGCAAAAACTTATGCTTGAGAAAAGACAAAAGGAAGTCTTATTAACAACCAGTAAACTTAAATCTGTGATGACTTTACTTAAACGTACTTCCACACCAAAATCTATTGCAAAAGCTTTTCGTGACAAAAGTGACAAATTATCATTAGATGGTAATAGTAGAGGTGGCAATCCAGATCCTTTATACTATTATCCACTAACCTTAATTGAAGAAGAAGAAGAAGTATTTGCAAGCGGTAAAGAGAAGAAGAAACAACTTGATGAAGCTATCTACAAATATATTAATGGTCGTCAATCTTTGGCATTGATGGATGAATTGATTCAGAAGCGTGATGCGTTAGTTTCTGAAAAACATGCGTTACTTATTGAACGCGAAAAAATTATCGCTGCTGGGAATTCTGACAATAGCAGCGACAATGACGATAACCAAGATTTAGATGACAGGATTGAAGTGATAAATTCGGAAATTACTTATATGAATGCTAGAATTCGTGCATTTCAATCCGAAGCTGCAAGAACTGCAAAAGTAGGAACAGAAAAACAAAGAAGAAGATACTCACCAACACGTAAATCTGAAGAGTACCTTGAAGAGCACCCATCATTCACATTGCCCAAAGATGTTACATCTGAAGCGTCATACGATACAGCTGTTAACATTTTAAGAAACTTGGATCCAATCGAAGCCCAAACAGTGTTGGAATCATTCTTTGAAGATATAGTTAAATTACGTAGCAATGAGCAGTCGAGTCAGATGACACTTGCACAACAAGAAACAACAATGTTGGAGTTGCGCAAAAAATTATTGGGTATGCGTAGAGCAGCAGTTTTGGCAACTGTCGAATATGAGAGAAGGAATAAAGATCTTGAAGAAAAATTGAAACGTAGGGGAAGATCACCAAGTCCAGTAACAGAAGAAAATAAAGAATTAAAAATAAAGACAATAGAGGATGATGCAGTGGATACAATTTCATTGTTTGATCGTATCTACGAGACAGCATTTGCACAAGTTGAAGCAGCTACTCCTGTTAGTGACAACGAAACCCTCAACACATTACATTCTGATTCTAGATGCGGATCTTCCTATTTTCTTAATAATGATGATTCAAGAATTAATAACGGATCTCCAAGTCCATTAATTAATGAAAAGGAAAATGAAGAATCAGAAAAAGAAAAAAATGATATTGAAACTCACAGTATCGTTATGAGTACTAGAGCAAGTGAGGTAAGCCTAGAAACTATTTCTGACGTCAAAAAAAGGTTAATTAAAAAAAGAAAGGAACTAGATAAATCCTTAAAAAGCAGCTCAAAATCCACCAATCGTCTGCGCAAAGATGTCTTCTATTTGGAAGAACTATTGGAAACCAAAAAAGAAAAGGAAAGATTATTAGAAAGACTCACTAAAGACCAGCAAGAAATCGAAAAAGGCATTCAAAGCAAGAAAAGCGAATTAAAAATAATGGAAAAAGAATTCTTAAAAAGAGAAACTAAAAGTTATAGCAAAGAAAAAACTCAAAGGAAACTAAGGAAACTTTTAAATTTCCAAAAAGATATAACTTGTTACAATGCTTCTTCGGCTATTGAAGAAAAAGAAGAAATAGTAGAAGAACTGGTCGAGAATACATTAATAAGCAAAGGAGAACTAGATGGCTTTTGCCAACTTCAAGAAGAATTTTCTGTCTCAGAAATAGAATTAGAGATAAACGAAAAAGAAAGAACAGAAATAATCAACATCTATGCTCCCATTGAGGTCAGCAATGGTCATTTGATTATTGGCAGCAGTTTTCGGGATAATGCTAATTTAAATTACGAAGCCAAAATCCAATCAACCAATCCCTATCAACCACCTAAAAATAATTAAAAAACTCTGCCAATCTTATTTTTTTTCGCAGGTATTAGCAAATGAACTCCCAACCTAAAAACAAAAAAGCTAATCGTCAGCAAATTGGTCAAAATAGCATTCGAAATAATAATTCGCGGCGTGATATTTTTTAAGCAAACAATTCTCGCCCACTGGCTTTTTTTTAGGCTAAATTCATTGGAAATTGGATTTAAAAAGAGCAAAAATATTTAAAAGAAAACAAAGCAGACTTTAATTGTTCAGTTTTACTTTCTGCTAATTGGCAAAAAGTGTTTTATAGGTAATTAAATTGGTGCCACCTTTTTCGCAGTTTGGTCATAAATATAAGTGCGCAAGATTCTCCTGCGGCTTTCGTCAGTGATGTTTTCTAAATAGGTTCACTTATCTTTTTTATAGAGGTGAATTAAACAAGCGTCGCAAATGTATTCTCCTTGGTTAGCTTTTTTGTTCGTTCAGTAGCCTCAATTATTCTTGACCATATATTTTCCTTGACCCGGATTGAACTTCACTGTTTAAAGGGCGTGAGCATTTAAAACAACTGGCTTGGCGTGGTCTTTGGATTGGCTTTTTTTTCATTAGAATATATAACAATTTTATGATTGAATTTTCTTCTCGGCATCATATTAATCTACTCTAAAGATTTGGTTAGATTTAGGAGGCTTAGGCAGATGCCGAGTCTTTTAGAACCTTACAACCTACCCAAATCTTGACAATAGGCAATATAATTTAGTTTTTAAGCCTAATTAGGAAAAAATGCCACTCTCTGCTTAATTAGCACTTATTTTGGCAAAAAACCTCCTAAATCCCACCATTCTTCACCAGCTTATAAACAAAAAAACCAATGGTAATTAAATTAGCCAAAATAGTGCTGCAAAACAACAGTAATTGGCGTCAATTAGTCTTGGGTAGTTTCTTTAGTAAATAAGGCTTATCCTTAGGGTTTTTCAGCTAAATTCTGCCAAAGCTAAACAAGTGCTTTTTAAGCCTAAAAGTTAAATTAGCATCAGTTTACTGGCTGGATTGCTCTCACCTCTTTCGGTGCTTAAGTCTCTTTCGGGGACAATAGCCCGGTAGTCTCCGAGCAAAATAAGGTGGTCTTTCTTTAGGCTTTTCTTCGACTAATCAAAGACCAAGCAGGATTAATCCCGCCATAGTGAAGCAAAAGGGTACATTTAAAACAATTTTCGGTCGGTTTATGTCGACCTTTAACAAATTTAAATCTGTCATGTATTATTTTTACATACTATTCAATTATTATTCACATATTATGGATAAAAAAACATTATACTCAATCCCTTTTCCCTAATACTCCATAACTTCGGTAAGAAATAAAAAGCTTTTGTTTGCTAGGTTCCACTAACTGTCCAAAAGCTTCTCGGTCTTTTTCGTATCATTCATTTAAGCAAGAGCGACAAAAGAATTGATAACCATTTCACTTTTTGCCTTTTTTTAGTCAGTAAGCTACTTCATTAAGTTTGCTTCATTGCTTTTTGGGAGCTACTCATTGTTGGGTGAAGTTCTTATGGCATTTGTCGCACTTTTGGATTCTTTCCATGTTTATTATGTATAATTTTAGGGAAAGTTGGCGAGCAAGGATTAATCTGGGAGGGCAAAAATGATGCTCTCTATTTGTTGCTATACCTAAAATATACTTATAGCAAAATTATGAATGGTTCTCGTATGCGTGCAAATATAAATATCTTGTATGTATTTTTACTCTCTCTCTCTCTCTCTCTCTATAACTAGCAAATTTTTGGTGTTCTTGATAAACTTTAATTAACCATTTTTTGGCTTTTTCCCTATAAGTTTCCTTGAGTTGTTTTGGCACGCTTTCGCTTCAATAATGATCACAGAATTTACACGAAATTGTATAAATTGTATTGTTGCCGTTTTCACTTTTACTTTCACTTATCGATGGAAGAGGAGTTGGCAAACCGAACAAGGACTAGTAGCCTCTTTTTGGTGTTTACAAGTATAAATTTTTTTCATAATGTTTTATCACCTATATAAGGATTTTTAGGAATAATCATCTTTTTCTTCAATGAGAGCAGTTAATTTACCAACAATGTGACATGAACGACAGCGAGCCTCATAAGCTTCTTGTCCTCCAACCAAAATAACTGGGTCAGTGGTTAAAGCTGGTTGACCGCCAATTAGCCTTTGGGTCATATTGGCTTCTCCATTGCAAACTCGACAAATGGCAGTTAATTTAATAACTTTTTCGGCTAAAGCCAGCAAAAAAGAAGTATTCTCAAATGGTTTTCCTCGAAAATCTTGGTCTAAACCGGTGGCTGTTATTTGATAACCTTCCTTGGCTAATTTATTCAAAGTTTTAACAATTTTTGGATCAAAAAAGTGTAATTCATCAAGAAAAATAACTTTTGTTTTTGGTTTCTTTTTCAGATGAGTATGTATTTCTTTACTTTTGCTAATTATCGTAGCGGCTGTTTTATTATTTATGTGGGAAGTTATTTCGGTTGCTGAATAACGATTATCTAACGAAGACTTAAAAATCAAGATTTCCTTTTGGGCATATTGAACTCGCCGAATTTGCCGCAATAATTCTTCTGTCTTTCCAGCAAACATAGGACCAGTAATAATAGTTAAACTGCCTTTTTTATTCACCAAATTTTCTCTTGCCATATAACAGATTTTTATTCGTGGACTACCCACCACTTAAAGAAGTGGGAATATTCTCGCTAGGATTTTGACAAAGAATAATTTTTAGCATTTTTGGTCTCAGCCAGTAAATAGTGGGTCTTTTTTTGTCAGAAATTCCAAAGTTTCTTTTTTGGTTCTTTTAACTTGGACTTCTGGCTCAGCTTCAACAGCAAGGACAATGCCAGTAGGAAAAGTTATTTTGCCTATTCCTGCTATTTTTGAGAAATAATTACAAACTTCGCTGTTAATTTGGCTTTTGTCAAAGATGATATATCATTCCTCGCCATTTTTAATCTTTTGGTCTAATTTATCTTTATTTCACTCTTTCGAAGTTTCATTTGTATACTTTCCTTGAAAAATAATTCAGTTTTTTTCTTCTCCTATTAATTTACTTAGGTGGTTAGCAAGTGATGGAACTACGTTTCTCCCATTGCTGGCATCAATTTTATTTCCATTTGAATGTACATTAGTTTTGACATTTCCTGGCTTTACTTCTTTTTGTAAGCAAAAAACGAAATATTTTTCTAAATCTAACCTTTTTTCTAAGAGATATCTTTCTAATTCTTCTTCGGAAGTATCTGGTGAACCAGTGGCAAGAGGAATAGTTTTACCAGATTGATTGTTGTTGTTCCCTTCTGGCTTTTGGTTAGCAGAATTTTTTTTGTTTTGAACTACTTGATAAATAATTAAACTCCCAACGGCTAAAATAACTATTCCTCCGATAATTCATCACAAGATTTTATTATTTTTTGACTGGTTTTGGTTCATATTAAAAAATTTTTGTTGTAATGGCGCCTGGTGGAGGGTTCGAACCTCCGACCTTTCGGTTAACAGCCGAGCGCTCTACCGCTGAGCTAACCAGGCATTTTTTTGTAAAATTTTCAGATGGAAATTAATCTTTACCGGCTAACTTGTTTTTTATGCTAATTTGCTGTTTTCCCCCATATAATAATTTTACTTACTCTTTTGGAGAAGGAAACTATAAATTTTCCCTTGGAGTTTGATTTTCCCTTGGAGTTTGATTTTTTCAGATTGCTCTTGTAAATCGGCAATGATTTTTTGACATTTTTCTAAAACTAAGTCTTTGTGTTCTTTTTCCCGACCAGCCATTTTTAAACTAACTTTTACTGAACAGCCACTTTCTAATCATTTCCTAATTTGGCTGATTTTGTTTTTCAAGTCTCCCTCGCCAATATGGAAAGTTAGTCCGATTTGCTTGAGAGTGGTTTTTTGGCTAGTTTTTTTTTGAGTTTTGTTTTTTTTGTTTAATTCAAAGAGATATTTTTGGTAATTAACTATTTTGCAAACTGCCAGAGTTTTTTTATCTGGGTCAGGCGAACGAAAGCAAACTAAGTCTAGTTCTTGTTCTTGGGCCTTTTTTAAGGCTTTTTGTTTGGAAACAACTTCATTTGCTTGCTCATTGTCTTCTCCTACTAACAGAATTTCCTCAAAAGGTATTTGTTGGTTAATCAGGTGCTGAGGGGAAATTTTTTTTTTGTCTTTTAATTTTAATACCATTTAGTAACAATTATAACTTATATTTTAAACTTTTGTTTTAATTTCCTTCTTCTTTTCCAAATGCTTTTGTTGTCTTTGTTCTCCTATAAGATTTAAAATCATTCTGGCACTATCGAAAGGCCTAAATTCGTTGGTGTCAACTTGAAGATCATATTTTCATTTTAGTTTTTCCATTTTAGCGTATTGATCCCGAGCCAGACCCCAAGCACGATCCCCACGGATTTTTTCTCTTTCTTCAATTAGCGGCAAATCACAAGTTATTTTTATAAAATAAATTTGGTGTTCTTCTAAGGTGGTGTGATAGTTTTTCAAATCTTCTTTTTCCCAGATTACTTCATCAATAATGAGATTGTGTCCATCGTCAGCTAATTGTTTAATTATTTTGGGGATTGATTTGCCAACTTTTTCGCCATAAGAACCAGTTTGTATTTCAACGATAGGAAACCCTTCTTTGTCAATTCCTGAGATAAATTGGATTCCTTCATGGGCTTTTTCTCCAAAAGGTAAATATTTAGGAGGCATAGCTTTGAAAAATATATCAATACCAAAAGTTAATCAGGGTTCATCGCTTAAATATTGAATAGCTCCGACAACAGAAGTTTTTCCGGAAGAAGAACAACCATTTAAAAAAATAATTTTACTCATATTAACTTTTTACTTTTTAACTTGTATTTTTAAAAAGAATACCATGCCGAAATCGGACAATTGTTTGCGAAAAACGCTTAGAATTAAGATAAAAATATTAGAATGCTAGGCATAAAAACATAGATATGTTAAATAAAAATCTGGTTGCTGAAAACCCCTGACGTTTGAAGCAAATATTACACGAATGTGTTCGTGAAAATGAGAACAAAATCTATTAGTCTGCTAATCCACATTTTTCGGATTGAGTGGAAATAATGGATAGACAAGGTGGCAATATGTATCTTCATGTTGGTGAAAAAAATTATTATCATGAGTGAAAGATTAATCAAGAAAAATTTTTGGCAGCCTTAAATCTGTTAGAAAATTATGAAAATAATAGAACTATTTACAAATTGTAAGAAGCTAAGTTAAAGTTAGAGGCGACCTTTGGAGTGTTTGAATTTGCTTATCTTGGTTTAGACAGTATAAACGATGAACTTATTTTTAAGGAAAAAGAAGAAATCTTTGATATGTTTTTTAATTCTTATTATTTAGCATTAACTTTTATTCAGCAAGCGGGACCGCTTTTAATACTTTAAATAGATTAAATTCTTAACACTCTTCTCATTGACCTCTTAAAAGAAATCCAACATCGCATGAAAGGAGTTAATAATTAATTATGGCTATCCAAGATACCACTTTTATTTATAACATAGCAAATTGGTGAGTAATTGTATTAGTTAATATAAAACTCTTATTCTAGCACGCGCGATGCGCGATAAAAATATACATATGACAATATTACAGACATTTATGGGTATTACCCTTTTAACAACCTCCTTAACTGGCGAAGCCACGGGAAAGATAGGCCGATATGGTTCAACTGCCATTCAATATGTTTGCTGTGGTGGGAAAGAAGCCACTGGCTTTGTCGGTGACGTTTCCCAAAAAGCAAGTGAAAGAATAAGTAATTGAGGAAACAACGATTTTATCAAAGTTACTTCTAATTTAAGCCAGGCTACTAGTAATTTGGCTTACTGTGCTAGTGGTTTGCTTGAAGCTGGCGAAACTGGTTTCAAAAATATCAGTAAACTCTTTGGGAAACTAGACACCGGTTCACAATGATTAAGAGGTCGTTCGACCAATTTAATTCGTGACGAAGAATACCGAGATTTAAATGTGAAGTTTAATTTCAAAACTGCGCCAGGAACTTGCGAGTTAGAAGGGGAAGAAGATTGAGATGAGGTTAAGCCGATAATAAAAGGCGACAATAAAGCCAAAAAAATTACTCTTAGCCAAACGGTAAGTAGCAAATGAACAAATCAGGCTAAAAATTGCTTACCTCTAAAATTAATCTCCTAAGGATTTAATTAGCAGTTTTTTATTAAAATCAACGAAATTATTCTAGCCAAATTGAAAACCGAAAATCAGATATTGTAAATGCTCATCGAATGGGCAGAACAACAATCGGAGGTTTTTCTGGACTTGTTCTTGTGCCTGACCCACAACTTAATAATAGTAAAGGTTCAACGATTAAATTAACTAATGAAATAAAAGAAAGCAACAAAAAACTTGGTTATTCAGAAGTTAATCATTGACGAGCAGAACAATTAGAAGCACGAATTCAAGTTCCACCTAAAAAAGATTGCAAAATAATGTAGCATGGAAGACGACGGAGTAAGGGGAGAAAAAAAACCTATTGAGGAGAAAGTAAATGTGGGCTGAGAGCGATTTAAACTCATTACTCCCTATGTTTTTTCTCTCCTTATTTTACTAGTTGTTTTCTATCGTTTTCCGTTGAAGAACAAGCTCTTTATGTTTCTTTCATTTATTTTTTTTGTGCTATTTTCGTTGCTTTGTTTATTAGGTTCAGGGAAATTTGTTGAGTTAGCTTTTTCTCTTTTTTATTTGCCTATTTACTTGATGTTTTTTTTGCTATATTGATTTCTGCGTGATAAAAACCTTTAAATTCAATGTTTAACTTTGGTTTTTTTTGCGTGATTTAATTTTCCTTTTCGCCATTTTCACCAACAATCCACCAATCGTTAATAAAGCAGTCAACAATAAACCAATTCAAATAATCCTTTCTTTGGTTGGTGGTTGAATTATTTCTTTTGGCGAATTAACCACCGCTAAACTATTTAAATTTTGCTGCAAATGTTTTTTAATTTCCGCATTACGAGCAGTGGCTAATTGTTGGTAATTAGTGGCTTGTTGAATTTGCTTAATGGTGTTAGGAGATAACTGAATATTTAACTCTTTTACTTTTATCATAAGCAGGACACAAAAAAAGTAGCAATTAAAAACAAACCACCAGCCGGAAGCAAATCTCACCAAACAGGAGTCTTTTGCTTGTGCCAAAGGTAGAAAAGCCTAATTAATAAAACCGAAACAAAGATAAAAGTTAAGATTATTAGGCTGCTAATAACCCATCCAAAATCGAACATAAGCAAGTATTTTAATTACTAGACTAAACTGAAAATTACTCGTAAACTATTATCACCCTGTCGTTGACCTAATTTAATAATTCGGCTATAACCACCTGGTCGTTCTTGGTATCTTTTACCTAGATTATCAAACAATTTACTAAGCACTTTTGATTTTTTTTTTCCTTGCCTAAATTCGACTCTTTTTTTATTTACTAAATGACGAAGAGCCAGACGATATAAATGTTGACGGGCTTCTTTTTTTTCTTTCTCTTTTTCGGCTCTTTTGGCTCAGGTAATTAATTTAGCAAGCAATTTAGTTAACCTTTTAGCCATTGGCAAACTAGTTTCGATTTTTTCATAGCAAATAACATCTGCTGCTAAATTATTTAAAACATGTTTTCGTCAAGCAGAATTTTTTCCTGGTTTAAGTATAAATGACATATATTTAATTTTATGCGACTTTTCATTCGTCTATATGCAAAAAACATATGAACGAAAAAGTAAATCAGCTCTCTGAGCCTCTC